GGTTTTGGCGTTGCTAGAGGACGCCTGCGGGGAGGAAGAGGGCTCTTCCCGGCTGTCCTCTCCGACACCCGGTCCCAGTAGCTGGGTACGAGGTTGTCCCTCCGCATTTTGTTTCCCTCTGCAGGCAGCCCCCTTGCACATCCAGAGCGGCAAAAATGCTGGAGAAGCTGCTTGTGCAGCGTGTATGAGATTAGTGCCGTGTTTTAAAGCCCTTCACAACCCGGCGTACTTTGTATACTCTTCTTAGATCAGAAACGGTGGTTTGACTGTTCGGAAGTTGCAGTGATCGCGCTTGGTTATCTGGGTGCCGCTTTGGGCAGCCTTAGCGATGCGTCTGATCTCGGCGAGCTCGCTCCAGTCCTTGCGCCCTTCAGTGAAGCGTAAGGATTTTGTGGGACTAAGAACAGCCTCTGAAGGTTGGGAACAATCCCATGTCTAACTAAAAAGCGTTTTAAGTTAAAGCTGTTTTCCAGCATCTGTATGTACACCTCCCTGATTTATTTATTTATTTTTTAATCATGCTGGAAGCTAATCATATGCAGAACATAAATGCTTCGTTACAGAAGTGACCCACTCACCTACATTATTGACAAACCCATAGGGGAAAACACTGCAAACCAAATGTTTCTTTCAAACCTCTCCCTAAAATTGCTGATCTATCCCATCTTTCCAGCATCTCCTGCAGACATCTTCTTGAGCCACTGTAGCAGACAGCCTTTTCCCATCCTCATGTAGCTTCCTTTTCACATCTCCATTTTTGTTTACAAGTCTGCCATATCAAGCACCTTTCCCATTTAATCACTCTTGATCCATTTCCTAATTTAGCTGGCACGCTCATTTTTCTTCCCTGTTTTACACTGCAGTATTTGTGAGATAAAGGCACTAGAGTCACTTCTAAACTGCATGAGGGTAGCTGGAGGTTGATTGCACTCCAGCTGGAAGACTGAGCTTTTCAGGTTCAGGCTTTTTCAGACTCTGTTTTGCAGCACCGGGCCGATTCCTCTACCAAAGACAAAAGTGTGAACATTGAATTAACCCTATAGTATTCTGAATCCTGGGGACTTAAAGTCTTCGGTTTTCACTTCTGCGTTTTCTCAATTTCCAATTCAGAGATCTGTAAGTGAACAATGTTTTGCTAAATGCAGTATTGATTTTTATTAGAAACTCTTGCCAATTAACATGGCATTAACTTTTATCTTTAAATGCTTTTTACTTGGAAGGTTCTTGCTAAGTCTCACAGGCTTCTAACCATCAAGCAACAGATTGCGACTACACTGAGTTATATTTGCTAACATTTTTGTGAGTGCAACTCCACAAGATATATTTGCTACTGTTTGGTAGCAACACCATTGCTGCCACTTACTTCAGCTTCAGAAGTTTTAGTAATAGCAATTTAGTTTCAGAAAATGTTAGTAATAAGATTAGTATATACAGAACTCTGGGCAGATGCTGATACCTGAAGCAGAATTACTCTGTAGTATTGCACAAAATGGGTCAATGTGACAAAGCATCTAAATTGTTTCTGGCTGCCAGCAGTTTGTCTGGACCAGCTCTTCTCATAAGTACTGGTGGTTATGATGAACAATCAATAACGAAAAAATTGACTGTTCATCAGAAATGATGGGATAGTCAAGGAAATAAAACTAGCTAACTTTACCACCCTTTTGGTTTCTACTCTGGCTTTTCAGAGATTAGAATATTTGAGAAATTAAAAACAGCATATGCTGTGGTGCAAGTCTCCTTTAATTAGTGAAAAAGTAAAGGAAAACAGCTTCACAGAAATTTGTGTGAGGATTAAGATAATACTGAATTAAACACTGAGAGCATGGTGGATATCTTGGCAAATTAACAGTAGCTTAAATGAAGAAGCAACTAACAAGATTAATCTAGTTTGCAACGAGAGAAAAACATCTGTAAATATAATAGACTGGTGCCCCTTAAGTGGCTTTTGCTAATTAAGCTATGAAATAAATTCCTTCCTGATCTGTATGGAATTCATTATATAAGATTATGCAAACTGCTGCTAGTGTATCCGGCTTTTTTTTTTCTAGAAAGCAGAAATACTCCTTGTCCTATGGAAAGTTCACTTTTGTACAAAACAGGGCAAGTTGGACCACCATCTGAAAGATCCTCCTGACACTCATTTTATTAAGTTCTGCACTTCCACTGCCTTCCATCCCACCGGCTATTAACAGTTCTATGAACAAGAGCCAGTGACTATTTTAATTATAAGTCAGATGCAACATTTTCATCAATGACTGATAATGCTCTGACTTTTTTTTTCTTTGGAGTGTCATACAGAAAGTAAGTAGACTGGGTAACTTGTAATCACCACCAGAATGATTTTTAACAGAAAGGCTTTAAAGATTATTCTGTTGTATGTAGTATAAATAATGAGAAGTGGTCATGATTATGGCATCAGAAAACCCTTTCATCAACAAGCTCATGAGGCACACCACAGGATTGTATATTTTAATTCAAGTTATACTCATTGAATCGACAGGAATTTTGTCATGAGCTTGCAAGTACTTTTGCAAATCTCATTAATTTTCTGTGTATTTTGTTCAGTAACTAAGTAGCCTTGAAAATCTGCCCCATCAGGCCTGCTTTTCTTTTTATTGAACCTGGTGGAAATTTGCCTACAAACTGGGCCAAGTCTGGGATGAATAGAAAGAATAGCCATCTCAGTGTGAGCCACGCATTAGATGCATGAGGTGAATTAAAGTCAGAAAATAGTTTTCTGTGTTTTAGAAGTTACCACAGAAACATTACCAATGGCAATTTTAAAGGAATAAATGTACTTCGAGAAATTGAGAAATTAGGATATTGTGGTTTTGTAACTGCACATTTATATACTGGACAGATGATACAGAAGAATGACATTATCTGTCTCATTTTTTTCCCTTAGTCTAAATTTATGCAAAAATATAAAATTCTCTTTAGTGTGATGTGTAGCTATGCTTTGTCTCTTCTTCTACAAAGCTAAGCAACTTCTGTAAATTATAGTGTTACCTGTCAATTGCAGTGTATTGATGTTATACCCAATTCTTGAAACAGTGGAACAATATTTATTTTATCATAGAAGGTTATAATAACACAACAACAGTAGATATCACAAATGAAACATAAAGTTTGCATGCAGATACCTGTTTTAATTACAATTTACAATTACATTGTAAATTATTCCATATTTTATCTTAAAACAGCAAGGTGCAAAATGATGAAAGACAATCAAATTTGTACTAAGAAGATGACATTTGTCTGTTTCTTATAGTCCTTATTTATATGAGTTTAAAACAACAACAGTAGATATCACAAATGAAACATAAAGTTTGCATGCAGATACCTGTTTTAATTACAATTTACAATTACATTGTAAATTATTCCATATTTTATCTTAAAACAGCAAGGTGCAAAATGATGAAAGACAATCAAATTTGTACTAAGAAGATGACATTTGTCTGTTTCTTATAGTCCTTATTTATATGAGTTGAAGGATTTTTATGTGGAATAAAGTTCAAGCCTTTAAGTCAGACTGGTTGCTAACTGAAATTTTATTTTCCCATCTAACTGTAAGATTAAAAATAATATGCCACTTAGTAAAACTTATTCCCCTCATCCTTCCTATTCAGCATCAGCAAAGGAAATCACAAGGTAAATTAAAGTTCTGAAATTAATGCAGCAGCATGTAATTAACTTGAGGTATAAAATACACTGAATCGCTGTCTATTAAGGGAAAAGCTACCAAAATAGGTTTGGGAACGTAGCTGCAGGTTTGAAAGAGCAGCATTTCTGAATTTTACAGAAATGATTAAAGACACTTTTTTCCATGCTACTTCAATAGAATAAAGGTGACCAAGTTTACTTTT